CATTTTAATGCCACCAACAGGTACCCGTCGACAGACTGCAGCCATGTCCCGAATTCCTTGTTTCCGACCACTTTTGTTGAAATTTGCAACATAGCCCCCCCTTATCTTTAGTAGCTTTAACAAAATCATTTGTTGTTATTGAACTTGATTGACCTCACACTTAAGAAATTTAACTCTGCATTTAACCAATCCCCTTGGGGAGTAGTGGGCTGCCATTGTGCGGCGCTGGGGAGCAGTGTGGGGTCAAGGGTCTTCCTCAGAGAGCCAGAGTGGAAGTCTGTGGAAGTGGGGCTCAAACTCAGAACCTCAAGATTCCAAGCTCTATTTCCTAACCACTAGGCTACCACTTCCCTTCACATTATTTTAAATGAAAGCCTTAATTATCTGTATGAAAAACAGTAAAAAAAAAAAAGCAAATGAACCTGAAAAGTTGCAGTTTTAAACCCGGTTTTGGTTTAACTACCAAAAGAAATTCAGTCACACCTGTAAAAAACCAGGCTGAAACATTAAGCCTAGAGGCAGGTGAGGGCAATGCTACTACTTACATTTGTTTCAACTTGGAGGTTTCCCCGAACACAAAGGGAGTTGGAGAAGGATCTTCCTCTGCAAAGCAAAATTAAAAGTAGTTAACTTTACATTTTAAAGTTACCAGTTGTTTAAAGAATACTAACTCTGAAGAATTATTTCTCTCATACATCAAATATATGAGAATCTTCATCCAGCCCAACACTGATGTATATCATTACATACAACTAGTTTAATCTCTAAACCTGGTTGTGTTTAAACTTACCTTTGTCCCAGTCCTCAGTTGAGTTTAGGTTTGTCCAAGTATTGACAGGGACATGCCAGCCATGCTCATTCTCTCCTGTCATTTAAATTAATAAACACAAATCAGTCTCAAGGCAAATGAAAGTTTGGGATCAATAACAGAAATAAAATGAACTTGCCATCTTCAGTGTCCACAGATATTTTGTTCATGCAGGTCTCGATGTGATGATCCAGCTCATGCTTGGGAACTAGGTGTCGAGCGTTATATGGACACGTTTTCAGTTTTTTGGCAATTTCTGGGTGATTCTTTGGAAAGAAAATTTCAACTTACCCATCAGTTGCATCAGAACAGTAATTAAATCTATTAATTAAAAAAAAACAATATATTGAAAGTGGGGACAATCCTATTTTGATGCAGAATTGCTGCATACAGGTAGGAGCTATGAAATCTTCACATCATTAACATCAATAACGGTTTGTGGTGGTTTATCCCTTGCTCCAAAATCTCAACTCAATTCCTTTCCACCAGTGCTTGAAGTGTAACTGTTGAAAATGGAAAGAAGGAAGGAAGTCCTCTCCAAAAATTACAAAAATGGAAAGAGGTGTTTAAATTTCCACTGCAACTTTAAGTTTGTTTATTGTCCAAATAAAACATCTTTTTATTAGAATACAAAAATAATAAATGTTTAAAATGGAATGTTTTCATAAAAACCACAATAGCACTTCAGATTTACTAACAAGCCAACCGATCAAACTGCCTACAGAGAAGCGAGCTAAACTTGTGGGATCAGAATAAAACAAAGGCAGGATCTGCTGCCATAGGTGGAAAAACAAGGTATTACCATGAAGGTATTAAAAGGTTGTAGACGAAATATGATTGATCCATTTTCAATACATTTAATCTCATCTGAAGAAACTTTCCACATTGACATAATAGCATAATGAGTTGAGACATTTGAGGAAGATTTAATACCATTTATAATAAGTCTTTAACACAAATGAGGAAAAAGTGCAGAGATGTGAATACTTTTCAGATGCACTAAATTGTACGAGTCAAAAAGTTGATATAAAAAAAAATTCTAAGCTAACCACTGAGTGTCCTTCACTGCAGCATTAGTCGTTTTGGTCCTCTGTTTTCTCTTCTGGCTTTTAATAGCAAATTTTGGGTGAAAATTAAATGAATGATTCCTATAAATTGGAAGACATTCAATTGAAGCTCAGATTCTTTGACGTTTCAAATAATCCATCAGGTGCATCTAAAATTTGATTTCCACCAGAAAACATTTTGAACCTTACCATCAGTTCCCACAACATTACCCTGACTCCAAAACCTATTTCCTACCAACTCACCTTCCTGCACTTAATCAAGTGATAAGGGAAGCGGCAGGACCGGATTTGGTGGTTTGTATCAAAGGGACACTGCAAAAGCCTATCTGGATCCAAGTTGTCTAAAAGAGAAGTGTAAAACAATGGCGTGAAAGCAGACATATGTCTCCATTTAGAAATAATATTGTAACAAGTTCAGTTTTACCATCATTTTCCGCAAGCTGCACTGGTCCAGTGCTGGATCTCATCTTTGGTAGGTTAGCCATGCTGGATGCAGATTGGAGCAACTTATGTTAAAAATAATAAAAAAAAAAAAACTAAAAAAAAACACACAATTTTTAAAAGCAGATATATGTTTCTTCTACTTAATGAACACTTCACTTTTAGGTATGTTAAAATCGTTGAATAAAAAAAAAAAAGTCAGGTTTTAAACTAGGCATGCCCAAAGTTCTTCGTTGAGAGGTTTAATGGCGGTCGGCAAATATGTCGAATGCACATTAGCGCCACCTACCGCGCAGCTGATTCCGGTGGTTGCAGGTGAGCAAAAGCGTGATAATCGGCAATCAATGAAAATCAGCTGCGCTAAGATAGGAAAACCTTTAAAAACTGCTGGACAGCGGCCCTCGGGAACAGAGTTTGGGCATGACTGGTTTAAAATATGTTTTGGCAACAACACCACCATTTTCGGCTTAGGTCCAGCATAAAAGGCGAAATTTTAAATGGGATTTTTTTTCTACCCACCCATCCAAAATGAAATTTTCGTATCTTTTTCTTTGCCTGGAAAGCTTACTTGCCCAGTATCAATTCTCGTAGGACTTCGCGATTATCGTTCTTGGGAAAAGTTCTTCCTTCTAGTCATCCTCCAGAGAAATGGCTAAACTGTTTTCCCACAGCCAAATATGCTAACAACTAGCATCCACACCGCTAGCCGGTTCTTTTTTCGTTATTTACGATTTAACTGCGGTCAGTCACTAGAAATGTAAGCTTTAACTCAGTCTATCAATACTGCTTCTGACAAACTGTGTAAAAGCGTATAAACTCACCATAAAAATAAAATTAAATTTCAACCGGCGTTTCTGGAGTCACAAGAAGTTTAGACGCAGCGAAAGCGCCAGGGTTTATATATCAGCTCTACAGGTCACGTGACCTCAAGACTCGAGAAGCAGTTGGCGGAGGTCTGCACTTTCCGATTGCGTTTCTGTTTTGTTTTTTTATCTTGTAAACTTTTCTTTCAACTTATTAATCACTTAAATGTTACTGAATACAGATGTTTGACATTTTTAAAGTTTAAACATACCTTTAAACCAGAGGTCTTCAACAGGGAGTCCGCGACCCCTAGGGGTTCCACAGAGGTACTACATGGGTGGCGAAAATTTTGGTTGATTAGACTTTTTTTATATTCCCCCCTGCAATTTTGGAATGTCTTTAAATACACGTTAACATAAATTCAACACACTGTAGTAAACAGATACATGGAGGCAAAAGATGTCTTTCAGTCATCGATGCACACATTCAGCGACACACAGGAGCTCTTTCAGGATGGGCACCGTTTAATTCACAACACCTGTCCCATCAACCAGGAATCAGAATCAGAAATACTTTCGTTACATGTCTACACCAATAATATGGGGAAGATTAGGGCCACTGAAAAAAAGGTAACTGATTTTAAAATTTTGTTTCAGTGTATTATGGGGAAAAAGTCAGAATTCTGAGATTAAAGTAAGAATTCTAAGAAAAAAGTCAGAATTCTGAGATTAAACTCAGAATTCTGATTTTAAAAAAAGTCAGAATTCTGAGATTAAAGTCAGAATTCTGATTTTTTTTAAAAGTCAGAATTCTGAGATTAAAGTCAGAATTCTCAGATTACATTCAGAGTCCTGAGGAAAAAAGTCTGAATTCTGAGATTAAAGTCAGAATTCTTAGAAAAAAGTCAGAATTCGGACTTTCTCCCCCATATTAAACTGAAAACAAATTTTAAAATCAGTTAACTTTTTTTTTCAGTGTCACTAATCCTCTTTTGTAGGCAGTGGGCTTATGAGTAGCCTGAACAAAATAAATCAAATCAAAGAAGTATCCTACCATGACTATGAAGCTGATCCCAGAGGGAAATTTGTTCACTATAAGATGGCTACTTTCACCAAGAGAAGGCTTGTAGCTTCATGTTTTTACACAGAACAGTGTAATCATTCATTTACTGTAAAATAAAGTCCTTGTTAGTGGCAGAGGCATAGCCAGAAACATTTTATAAGGGTGGCAAGGCAATAACCAACACTGAAGTGTGGCCTAAAGTGGATCAGCACCAGAACCTTAGGGTCAATCTATACTGATCCAACAGGAAAATGAACAACCACAACAACCATATTTTCGAAATAAAGACAAACTATACTTTCCTACAGCCTTTGCTAAAAAATAGATTAATATATTTAAATATCCATCTAGATAAAAGGTATAGTGGATAAAGTTCTTTCAGGTTTGAGTTATGGGCTGAACATCTTTTCCATTGTCATTACTTACTTACTTTTATCAATGATCATTCTGCATAGAATTGATATTTACAAGTACTAATATCTAAAAAAAATTACTAAGTTTTTATTAGAATAGTTATTAATCTATGATTCTACTGAAGACTGACTTGCATTTTCTCTTTACCCCATAAAACACAAAATCTACTTCTGAAAAGAGCAGGAATTCTTTACTTATTATCTTTAATGTTAGTATATTGTTATAGTATTAGTGAATTATGTAGTCAGTAATGGGCGAAAGACACTGAGCAAGATTTAAAACTGTATGTAGAAAACAGAGATGTATCCTTCCTGGGAAGGTGGCTCTCTGTCCAAGAATCGCCCCTATTTTACGGTAAATTATTAACAGTCAGCTTCCCCTTATCATACCGTCATTACGGTAACCCTTCCTTCCTCCTGTCAAACATGGCGCTGTCCTGCTCCAGGCTGTGCAGCCGGTTGTCTTTGATCCGACTTAGTGGTCTGAGCTCAAACAGGACAACAAATGGCTTTTATCCTCTAGACATTTCCCATCAGTCCAGGTCTGTCCTCAACGTGTGAACCTTTACCATTTATTACCTTCTTTTTAGACGTATATCCATACTGGTCGCTAAGCTAGCTAAACACCTGCTAAATATTGAAACGCTGGGTAAAATTAAATCGCTATAACAGCCGTTGGTTTTATGTTTATTAGTAGATATATTTATCAGAAACGTTTCCCCAGAAGTTCCTTTCTCGATCATATCTTCGTATTCAGCATATCCATTTATATCATCCTAGTGACAAGGTAACATTTGATGTATTGTTTTGTTTTTACGTCACAGGTTACCTTTGTGCAGATATTACACTTCCTCTAATGTCAGACGAGGTATTGGACGGTATGTTTCCTCCAGACTCCAGCGGGCAAATGCCAAATATGAAGGCTTCCTTAAAAGACGCTTTCCTCGATTTTACCAGCTTCATCACACCTTTGTGCAAGGTAAGATTAAAGATTACTCACCTGTGACATCTCTGAAACTCCATTAGTCTGGGTGTACTGCTGGTCTGTGTTTAGATGTTTACGTCTTATCCTAAAGGTTCTCAGCCTTCCCAGGTGAGCTGCGGAGGTGGAATCATTATGTGGGTTTGCTTTTTCTTCATCAGATAGCTCAGTATGGATGATTGTATGGAACATCGGGATATATGTAGGAAGGAAACATCTTAGATTTGAAATCCAGATATTTAAGGCAGGCCTGTGGTATAGCAGCTGTTGATTTATACTGCTGGATTAATATAAGAATATTTATGTATGTTTTGGATTATTTTGAAAAAAGAAAGTCTCTGTGGAGCCATGTGATAGCAGAGTACCACAGGAAGCCTAATCATGTTAGGTTGTTTGGGCGTCCAATAGTTCTGCCCATTCAAAATACAGGCACATCTGTGACAGAACCGATACTTTAGGTTATTGTTTCACAAAATTCACAACCATTAGGATGAAACGTAATGATTGAGCGTTTATGCTCCATATTATAGTTCTGTTATTAGCCATCCTAAGTATGTTTTATTCAATCTAGAGCCTGTTTCAATCATATTCAGTGGACTCGTATGTAAAGTTTATAGATGTTAAGGTTTTGTTTACACAATCAAAGATGAGTAGAGCAATCTAAATATAACTTTATACTAACATAATGAGTGTTAAGTCGAAGTGGATCTAGTCTTAAAAATACTTACCTCTTTCTTTACATTTGTATTCATTGTATGCATTGAACTATGTATAACTGCATGTAACAAACAAAGTGTCCGCTTTACCCATCTCAAACATATTCTTTATTATTTTTTACTTAACACTAGGTAAAAGCAAAGCGCATGATGTGATATTAAAGATCTGTTGTCTATTTACTGTAGTTTAGCATGGCTTACTAATGTCTTTGGCAAGGCTAGCGTGGCTCTTCCCTCGAACTATTTAAGTTCTATGCGTCGCCATTGAGCTTTGAAATGGTTGCCCAATGTCGCCATTGTCAGAACTCTTATCTCTGACTTTTAGTAAATCATCATATGTCATTAAACAAGTTTAAAACTTTAAAACATAAATTTATTGTGCAATCTGAATATGTTTTAAAAGGCTAAAACGTGAGGAAAAAACAAAAGCAATGTTCAGAAATGCCACTTAAGATGTTCTAAATGGAGCTTAGAGGGTTTTTTTCTTTTTAAATGCAAAAATGTATATATATTTTCTCAACATTTTTGGCTTAATAACTTATCTGAACTCAACTTTTTGAGTCTGGATACACCATTTATGGATTATTAGATTATTTGACTATTATTTCAGTAATCGATTCATGCCATTTATTGTTTCAGCCCTACTGCAGGATGACCATTTAAAATGTTGAACCTTTTAAGTAGAGCTATAATGAGATGGTTAAGATAAGTGAATCTGAATCCTTCTAAGGACCCAACTGTCCTGTGTGTTTCTGGTGTTTCCCTGCTGCCACAAACCTGCCTTCAACAAATGCCACTTTATAATATTGACGATGTTTGACTTCAGGAGTATAAACGCATCTAAAACCAAACATAGGGAGGAGTTAACCAGGACTGAGAATGTGTTAAAAACTAGAAATTTATGAAAAGAAACCTAAATTCAATGGAGAATTAGTGAAAATGTTCAGTACATTCTTCCCTCTGAACATGAATCAGCTAGTATAGAGAACAGATGGCCTCATGGCTGCCTACAGCTGTCCTTGGTGACAACCTTTTATGACTTTGAGCTATAGATAGACTCATGCTCGATTGGGTATTTTTATCCTTTAGTTTCAGGGTAAATATAACTCAAAACAAAAGTAAATCCTCCGTCAATTCTCGTTTTATATCTTTGTTTAAAGGGAAACCACCTAACTTGGTAAACAATGTGTATTCGATTAAAAAAATAAAACCCAATGAAGATTTGCTCTTGTCCTCCTCCTACCCCTGTCTGTCTGACTTTTTTAAGGATTCAAGATGCTGTTCCAAGATGCCAGAGATGCAAGGAGGATAAAAGCCAAAATGCTGGTCGATGGAGTGAAATTCCAGGATTTGCATTACAGGGAGATGGAAAAACTGAGACAGGTGAGCTTGTCTTCTTAAAGAACCTTTGAGCTTTTTATGTTAATGGTTAGGTACCTACAGGAGGCCTATAAAAACATTTCGCTGGAGGGAAATTTAGTTCAGGATGTTTTTTGTCTTTTTTAAACAAAAATATTATAGTAAAGCCAATTTATTACAAATACTTAATATGATATGCTGGTTGAAAAAGAAATCAAACAACATGAACATGCAACACGGCAGCAACACAGAGGGCCGATCAGATTACTCTAGCACCGGTTTAACAGTTAGAATAACAACCATTCTATCAAGCTCAGTGGTGGTTTTTACATCCATGCTGTTTGCATAGTTTCTGGCTTAGTTCCTTTTGTGAATTGTCGGTTGTTGTTTTTTTCACTTGCATGGTCAAATATACATATTTTGTGGGTTTCCAGCCAGGTAACTATGTTATAACCACAGCCTTCCTGATGAAAGCTCTCCCTGTCATAACATCATAATATTTTGAATCAAAATGAAACTGAATAATAGTTTTTGGACCAAAGGAAGAAGTTGGCACACAGCTTACCCATCACACAGCTTTAGTTAATACAGCTAGAAGCCACCAAATATACTGGAATTCTGGTTTTAGTGATGGACTCAGACCTGAACTTTCAGAGGCTGATCAAGACCGTTACAAAGTTTGCCTTCTATCACCTAAAGAACATCTCCAGGATTAAAGGACTAACTTCAGCAGTGTTCTGGAAAAACAAAGTTATCTTTAGTAGAATTGATACCCTGAAAGGTGTCTTCACTGGTCTGCATAAAAAGTCCTCAAACAGCTGCAGTTGACCCAGAATGCTGTGACCTGTGTCCTCACTAAAACTAGGAAAGTGGAGCACATCAGCCCAGTTCTGTTAGTCTATAAATCACTGAATGGCTTACTACCAAAATACATTACAGACGTGCTGCTAGCGGAACAACCACCCAGGCCCCTTTTAGGTCTTCTGGCTCATTATGCTCCACTAATCTAAAACACACTGCCGGAAAACTGTTAAAGTGCTGAAATTATAATTTGCTTTAAGCTCAAATAAAAAAAACTTACTTTAGAGTGACCTTTGATTATATTATCTAAACATTATTTCTTAAAGGTATAGTGGAGGATTTTCGCAAATTTGTTAAAAGACCCGCCCTCTCCACTTAAAAAAAAAGCATATGCATAACGCTGTACCTGCTCCTGAGATGGAACGCCTATTTAACGTGTGCGAGAGCATGCACAAACCCATTTCTCCTCGTCCACGCTGTGTTTAAAAGTCACTGCTTGTGTTGCTCATAAAAGCTTACTTTCCAAAAGATTTGCAATTTTTCCACTATGTAAGACTCTCCAACGGTAAGTGAAAATGAGGATGAGCACATAGGATGGCCTAGGAGGACCTTAGTATTTAATTTTATAATGTATTTTTTGTCTTTTAAAATGATTTTACTACTTCAGTTTCTTTATTTGGTTCCTGGTTTTAATTCAGATTTTTATATTTTTCGGGGGGTGGATCTTTGTTTGCTTTCATCTGTTTCCTTCCTTTTGTTTTTGACATTGACACACCTGCCTTTTATAGCTAATTGAGATTAAATAATATTTCTCTATTCTAAATAACTGAGAAGCACTGACATAATACACATGGCCTTCATTTGCACTTAGAGGAACAGCCAATCAAATCTTATCTTTCCTTAGGTGAAGAACCTCACCACATTCTCTACAACCTTTCAACATCCAGAAAGATAATGCACTTAATTAATTAACTGCACTTAAACAGCAGCACTATTGAAAGCGACTGTAGAGGAAACAACCTTACAATGAAAAACACTTTTACAAACCCTTGACAACAGAGCCCCCTGGTGGCAGCATGCTGTCACTGTCTCTGCTACACTGAGAAAATGCCTGGGATGGGATCCGGTGTTTTTAATATGCCATAAAAACTGTGTAGATCTGACTTCATTAAAGCCATATCCACACAGAAAATTAAGAAAATCTCTTTAAGGTCTTTAGCAATTATGTGTATTTGTGGTTGAGTTGTAATGTCCCAGAAATTTAGGAGCAAGTGGGCAAAACCTGGAATGCTGAAACTGCTCCTTCCATAACAAGCTGGATAGAAATATAAAAAAGAAATGCAACTTTTTAAATGCACATAGATAACAATCTAATTTATATATATATATAAGCAGAAATATATTAGAATAGTTATGGTATTCTCATAAGATTATAACATTAAACTAAATGTGCTTACAAATGAATTATCTCAGTGCTGTTCGTTTCATAGCTGGTTGACCTTCATGAGCTTCATGCAGTTTCTAATAGAAATTATCCTTTTTTTCTTAATTAAATTCAGTGTTTATTGATCGCCGTCATATCTTTTATTACACACTAACTTTATCTATGCTTCAGTTTCGCAGAGACCTAATAAAGGCCATCCCACTCGTGGTCATATCCATTCCTCCTTTTGCAAACTACCTGGTTTTTATCCTGATGTAAGTTTTTTTTTTTTTTATTCCTTCTTTTCATTGATTTGACCAATGTTTGTGCATAATTGTGCCTTTTTCTGTTTGACTGTCCTGTTCACACTCAGGTACTTTTTCCCTCGTCAGCTTCTGATTCCTCATTTCTGGACCCCCCAACAGCAGCTGGAGTTTCGGAGATTCTATCATTCCTACAGGGCACAGCGCCACCAAGCAGTGCTCAAAGAGCTCGAGTATACAAGCCACCAGGTGAAAAATGGTCACCTGCGAGGTCTTTTGAAGAATCTCTGTGCTAAGGTAAGAAAATGCATCACACAGTTCCAGTGGAAATCCCACTAGAGTTTAACAAACACTTCATGGATACGGTTGCAATGCTGTGATGGAAAACAGTTCTGACTTTACTAACAAACATTAAATAGATGGGGTCTAAAGGATGATATGGGGACATGGTAACCTTCAGTTATAAGTTAGCGTTACAAGATTTGCCCCATAATCCCTGGGATGAATGTGGGTCATCCTCTACATATTTAATAATTCCTAAAAAGAAAAAAATACTCTTTCAGGTCCTTTTATGCTTCAGGAGTTATCAATTATTAATATGAACACCCTAGAAACTGTAACAGACTTGTAAGGTGTTGCATTCATTAAAGAAATAACTTAAGTTGTATTTCTTTAAAAATATTCTCAGGGGGAATCATTAACTTTGCCCTTGTGATTTTTTTTTAAAGGTTTTATTAAAACATTTAATTCTGAACATGTTTTTCCCACTGATTAAAAGTAAACAAACCTTTGTCATACAGCGCCTCCGCAGTAAAAGATGTTTTGTTATTGCATCTCTTATCCAGGATGACGAGAAATGTATCTGATGCTGCAAATCTTTAGACTGAATGTCGTCTGCAGCTTTGTCTTGACCAGGACTCATTTCTGTGCTCATTCAGGTGCAAAGTGGAGGAAATCCTAAAGTTTCTGAAATCCTTGCAGTCAAAAGCCTGTTCTCTGGAGCCCCGCTGGCTGTAGACGCACTGAGGAGTAATCATATGGTCAGTAAACACTGACAGTTTTCCTCAGAAATCCACCTTCACTCTACTGAACACGTGTATGTTTATGGGTAATCAGAGATACATCAGCTCCCTCCTCTTCCTGACGCCTCGTCTCCCTGGCTTCCTGATTGGCCGGCGACTGAACAGCCACGCCCTGGAGCTGCTCCAGCTGGATCGAGCCCTCAGCCGACTGGGCCCGCACCAGCTGACTGACTCAGAACTGAGACAGGTTGGCAACGCTGTATTTTTATTTTCACAAGCTAAAACTGTTTCACAGGATGATGTAAGACTTTCCTCTTGCAGGCTTGTTATGTAAGAGGAATCAATGCCGACAGTCTTGGAACCAACCAGTCTCGTGAGTGGTTGTCCCAGTGGCTTCAGGTGTCATCTGCATTGAAAGGTTTGTGTTTTTACACTTCTCTTTTTTTCCAATACTCAAATGTCTTGATGTGAAGTGTTTTAGTTATGTAAACTTCATGTTCACTGAAAACCACACTGTCTGATAGGACTATATAGTGTTTAAACTGTGCAAATAGATGGAAGTTGCATTTTTAGTGGCAGCAAGACTATTTAGACATTTTTTTTGAAAATGGTCTGCTTCTAAGGTCTGACGGTTTAGTCTCTTTATTGCATGTCTTCTGCCTCATTTCCTGTTTGTTAGCTTTAAAAAATAAAGCCCAGTAAAGCTACATGAATAAATTGTTCCCAGAATCCCTGCTATCCTAGCCTGGCGTAGACCTACTCAATTCTAGTCAGAATATGAGTCTGATACTGCTCCATAGAGCTGTGATTATGGGGCGTGTTTTGAACGAACCAGGAAAAAAAATGCCTCTGCACTCAATTGGATAGACCTACAACCAATAAGAGCAACGGAGTGTGTGACGTATGTTAAGCGATACATAGTTGTTGTCAACAAAAATCAAAGCGTGCAGTTGCACGCCTAGAATAAGAAGATGAGCCTTGATCGCGTTTCTCTGTTCCTCTTTTAAAATTAATTTGCTGTCGATATCTTCTAGAACAGACCTAATAGCAGAATCTACATACACTATATTGCCAAAAGTATTTGCTCACCTGCCTTGACTCACATATGAGCTTAAGTGACATCCCGTTCCTAATCCATAGGGTTCAATATGACGTCGGTCCACCCTTTGCAGCTAGAACAGCTTCAACTCTTCTGGGAAGGCTGTCCACAAGGTTTAGGAGTGTGTTTATGGGAATTTTTGACCATTCTTCCAGAAGCGCATTTGTGAGGTCGCACACTGATGTTGGACGAGAAGGCCTGGCTCTCAGTCTCCGCTCTAATTCATCCCAAAGGTGTTCTATCGGGTTGAGGTCAGGACTCTGTGCAGGCCAGTCAAGTTCATCCACACCAGACTCTGTCATCCATGTCTTTATGGACCTTGCTTTGTGCACTGGTGCACAGTCATGTTGGAAGAGGAAGGGGCCAGCTCCAAACTGTTCCCACAAAGTTGGGAGCATGGAATTGTCCAAAATGTCTTGGTATGCTGAAGCATTCAGAGTTCCTTTCACTGGAACTAAGGGGCCAAGCCCAGCTCCTGAAAAACAACCCCACACCATAATCCCCCCTCCACCAAACTTTACACTTGGCACAATGCAGTCAGACAAGTACCGTTCTCCTGGCAACCGCCAAACCCAGACCCGTCCATCAGATTGCCAGATGGAGAAGCGCGATTCGTCACTCCAGAGAACGCGTCTCCACTGCTCTAGAGTCCAGTGGCGGCGTGCTTTACACCACCGCATCCGACGCTTTGCATTGCACTTGGTGATGTATGGCTTGGATGCAGCTGCTCGACCATGGAAACCCATTCCATGAAGCTCTCTGCGCACTGTTCTTGAGCTAATCTGAAGGCCACATGAAGTTTGGAGGTCTGTAGTGATTGACTCTGCAGAAAGTTGGCGACCTCTTCGCACTATGCGCGTCAGCATCCGCTGACCCCGCTCCGTCAGTTTACGTGGCCTACCACTTCGTGGCTGAGTTGCTGTCGTTCCCAAACACTTCCATTTTCTTATAATACAGCTGACAGTTGACTGTGGAATATTTAGGAGCGAGGAAATTTCACGACTGGATTTGTTGCACAGGTGGCATCCTATCACAGTTCCACGCTGGAATTCACTGAGCTCCTGAGAGCGACCCATTCTTTCACAAATGTTTGTAAAAACAGTCTGCATGCCTAGGTGCTTGAATTTATACACCTGTGGCCATGGAAGTGATTGGAACACCTGATTCCAATAATTTGGATGGGTGAGCAAATACTTTTGGCAATATAGTGTACCTCAACTCTCCAGCGGCAGCCATTGTTGTTGTCGCCCAAGGTGACTTGGTTGATTACGTTACTGTTGATCATCTGTCCATCATCGTATAAAGCCCACCCTGAAAATTTGATTGGCCCGCCAGATATTGTGCGAGCATACTCGCGCTACTATTGAGCAATGCCAGACCGAACTTCCCGACCTCAATTGTTGTGGGCGGGACTAAGTTCGGAATGGCACCCAGGCTACTGCTATCCCACTCCAAATAGAAATCTACTAAAGCAAACATGGAAGATTAAACCTGTTAACACACTGTAAAAACGCAATTCAATTGTATAGTAAGTTAATAGGTTTCTTAGACACTCTGAAATATATATAGTTTTCCTTCTTATCCATTGTGATCCTTTTCTCTCTTTTTTTATTTATTTAATTAAAACCAGCACCTTTGATGGCAGCAAGGCTTCTGACACCTCATCCACCCCATTTATATTGTCTGTTTTGTCTTGCCTTAGACCAGCTGTACCAAAACTAAAATTATTTTTTTTTGGGGTTCAATAAAACATTTTTTTAAATTTAAATTAAAAGTATTGTGGAACCTGAAAAGCTGTTTTACTCTTCATTTCAGCTTAGGTCCAACACTACGCTTAAAAGGTTGATTGTTAAGAAAAAAAAAAAAAAAGAAGACATTTGCTGGAACTAAATAACTCCAAACCACCTCTGGTACTGTTTTATACCCAAAAAGGTGCAACAGACTTTGAAAAGGCTGCGACTCCAAAATTAGCAAAGGCAGTGGACCCATTAGTTTCTACATAAGGTAAAATATGGGGGTGGACAATGCGTTTCATTTTACAAGAGGATGGGAGGGAACCCATTTTTACAACATGGATCTACAACTATCTCACTGAGAGGTCCAGGATGTAAAGTACTACCGAGCCGCAGGAAATTATACCATCTCACTTTCTCTTCATGCCATTCCGGGACATTCCATATTCAGAAAGGTTATGATGATGAGGTCATTTTGACATGTGTGAAGGAAGTGGAATAGAGAGGAAGATACAGAATGGAGCAGGAAAAATGGCCATTTCCTGATGATTGTGGACTTTGGAAGGAAATCCTCCCATAAACCAATCAACATTGCTGGAGTGGAGAGGACATTGAACTTGTAAAAAATTGGAAATATTTGAAAGTCTATCTTGTTGACAGACGTGTCATGCCAGTTGCCGTTTACATGACAGTTTATGCTCAGAGGAGAAGCCACAGCAAGAGACTCCTATTCCCTCACTACTGAACGGAGCGCTTTAAGGGATCTTTTGTTCAGTCTGTCAGAACATAGACACTTTTAGCAATATTGTTAATAACTTTCTAATGTGTTGCTCACAAAAAATCTGAGTTTCTCTTGTGGGGTTATAATAAAGTCTCTATACGTCTAGCCACAACTGTAAAGATACCAAACAGTTTTGCAGTTAAATTTAGAAAAGTAAAAATATTTCAATTCCTGCTGCTAGCAGAGGGTTTTTATTGCATGTGATGGTTGGCTTGAATAATAACATGTCAAGTTATTCTGTGGTGGACATTTTTAGAATAAAAATAAATGTTATCAGAAATGACTAAAGATCTAATCCAATACGAACAGAAGTATGAATCTTTCTAAGATCCAGATGTTTCCAAAAGTCACTGAATGTGACAGGGTGGGGCTGCACCCCTTAATTTTTATGATTTGAAAGAATGAGAACTGAATGGCATTCCAGTAAAATTATATTTTAATTTTACTAATTATATTAGTAAAATGTTTCTCTCTTCATCAAAGAGAACAAGCAAAAATAAGGAGCTATCTTTACTCCGATTAGATGGCAAACTATTTTTCCCAGCAGCTAATCCAGATAGTTGATGAGACGAGTTTGGAAACTAAGTGTCTAACAGGTTAATTTTGGGATTATATTATGTGAACATTTCTGTAACTACATTTTGAAACTCCTCTGAAGAGGTTAACCAGTCAGGATGACGGCAACTCTAAAATATTCTCTCCCATCTTAGAGCATAAATATGGTGGATCAGTAGAACCAGGAACTGCTTTTTAACTTTTATTCTCTTTCTCAAAATTCAGATTATTTTATAATTAAAGAAGGAAATACTTTGAGCTGAATAAATGTTTAATCTTTTATTGGCTGATTTATTAGTATGTTTGTGTGGACCAGGTCAGGTAAGTGGATCAAATCAGATAAAATGTTAGTGTTGGTGAATTTATCTACTGTTGTGGTTGGTAGTAGCAGACACTGCTTTGCACATATATATATATATATATATATACTGAACTTGGAAGAATAAAACCTCTGTGCATGCGCTCTGCATGTTCCTCCCTGTCTTTAATTTTAATCGTATTTCTACCCTAACTTTCCACATGTATTTTTCTCTATTTTTATTTTGCAGATTCAGAGGTATCACTTCTTTTGCACTGCATCGTACTTCTGTCTGCAAACTACCCCAGCGCCCCAAGCCGCAACTGACAGGAAGCCTGCTGCAGTGATTATGGCCATTTTTGTGTTGCATTGCTCAACTTCCTGAGAGTTTTCAGTATCTCCTTACTGCAAAAGGAAAAAATATATTTAAAAAATTTCCTTTCGAGATAAGGTTAAAAAGAAAAAATGCAACAGGACATTGATGCTTACCTGAAGGAAAAAACACGGCCTGTGCAGTCAGATTTTCATTTGAAAATATGATGTTAGTGTCTTTATCAGACAGAAAAGCTGCTTTTGTTTGCAGATTTGAACCTTAGCAGGAAGTTTTATTCCAATTGATGCACTTAACTAGTGCACCTGGCAAAATATTTATACCCCTTTGATTTTTTTTTATTTCCTTGCTTTATAACCACAGACCCTAATTGACCTTATTAGTATTTTAAGTCATAGACCAAGACAAAACGGCACATGGACATTGAGCAAAATAGATGCAGTCACTGTAGATAATTTTTGCAGAATCTCAGATTGAATATAGATCTGTGCAAATAAATTTTTCATTCCCAGCCTTTGTCCCTAAAATACCCCTAAAATGTGTCCTGTTAGCTGCTCTGTGGATCTCATCTCAAGTTCCTGACCATATCTTGGTCTGTTTGCAGTTATGCTGTCCTCATTGGTTGACAGATTAAATGCCGCTCCATTAGTTGTGGGATATCGTTATATAATCCAACCCTATGTTAAGCCTCTCTCTGACCCGTCTACACTGTTCTTTATTGTTCATTATTTGGTTTGGCTTCTCTAATGTCCTCTAATGAACCTTTGAGTTCAGGACACCACATCTGTCTGTAAAGTCACTTTTGTGCACGAATTTTGTAGGATCTTAGTTATACTGGATTTTATTTAGGGGAGTAAAAAGCTGAAAACATGTAACCCATCCTTTCTAGATTTTTATTAGTACTTTCTACTTTGAACTGTGTATGCCTCTACTTCCTCTTTACAGCTATGCAGCACTTTTAGGCTGTGTGTCACATAAATTCTGTATAAAATAAACTAAACTTTGTGGTTTTAATATGACAAAATGTAAAAAAAGTTAAAGGGGTATTAGTATTTTTTGAAGGCACTGCATAGAAACTTACAATCTTTTGGGTAAAGCATTTATTCTTCCTGTTTTTCAGGTTACTGCTGCTTTAAATGTTAGCATAGCTTCTGCTTGTTGTTGCACAGCTATAAATGCAAGTTAGCGAAACGGCAATGATTCTACTTGAGAAAAAAAATAATGGAGCAGATCAGTGCTAAGAAAGGGTAAGAAGAGCTTTTATGTCTGTATTCAGAATATACGGACCTTTTTTCTGGTGCTCTTACCTCAATTTGTGCTTTTTTGTTTCCAATATCAGTACATGACAAAGCTGTTCAGAAAACTATAGAATGAACACTTCTCTTTTTTTCATTAAAAAAACAGCAGTAAATTACTCAAGAAATATGACTTTTATGATAAGTAGAGACAGATTGTCAAGTATGCTTACATGATGAAAGGTTTAATTTCAAATTCACAATATTTAGACTGCATCATACACCTATACGCCAAGAGTTGTAGTTGCACTTTACTGTTTACTTGTATCACCAATCAATCTCTTTATCTGGAGACTTAAACTTTTTACTTAAATCCTGAAAGGTTTTTGATTACAAAGTTTCATACAAGAATTTCAGACGTTTGAGTGAAAGTAAAACACAGCAGCTGGTTTCGTTCAGTGTCACTCTGCTTGTTTTTGCTTCCTGTGCCTTTCACCAGCTTTGGCCGTTTGCTTTCACATCTGAAGCATGACTTATGAAGTAAAAGTTATTTTCTGAGTCTTTTTTTTTTTTTGTGATGATATATTTGTTCATGTTCTGAGTGATGTGTTTTTGGGCCAATATTGCATATAATGCAGTTTTTTTTAAATAAATATCATAATGCATTTTTTTGTCTTTTATCTTTTTGTTTTTAATGAAAATTCATATTATTTAAGGACAATTCATTACAATTAAACTAGAACCATAAAAATATAACCCTGTAATAGAAACAGAATAGGTTGTGCTGCCTTAAAGATGTTTACATTTTTTTCTAAACCCTTAAAAATTTATCTGCTTTCACCTAGAATGTTAACATTTTCCTACAAAATCAGAGCGGGAATAACGTTTTAGCATCAAACTGAAAACCCCACAGATAAGGGAGAAATATAATCTGTGAATAATATAGAAACTTTAACATGAAAATATGAAATGTTTCAAGATTGAGCTCCCAATTATTAGAACCTGACCACCCAACAAATATTTATAAATGAATCACATGACTTCATAGCCGCTCCGGATGCCTCTCATCAACAAGCAAGAGAACACGATGCCCATAATCTGAAAGAGATAAAAAGAAAAATGCTGATGTTTGAAAATCCTGTCAAACTTTTACAAAGTTTATTTTAGAAATGCTGGACAAAGAGAGAATGCCCCCTTAATTATTTTTCTATCTTATCAAAAGCATTGCAACTCCGGTCCCGCCCTTTACAGGCTAAAAGGATAGCAAAACAGGAAGTTGTTTCTGGTCCGTTTTGACTTTAATGAAAATCAGATGCAGGTTTGGGTCGTTTGCTTTCCTTTGTTTTCTATTAAACTCATAACAAAGAGCAAATGTTTCTCTTTTACATCACATTCTGGATGATAAAACTAATGGTAGCAAAGAATAGCAGAACTGGTTCATCTCTAATGATATGCTTTGGTTTCCCCACCAATACATACCTGCAGGACAGCAATGACCAGAGCTGCAACTATCACCCACTGAATGTTTTCCTTCAGGAAGGTCTCCAAAGCATCATGGCAACCCTTGAAAGTAACAAAGACAGAGATGAACCTGCTAGCAGTTGATCTATGAGAGTGTGTCTACTTCCTAGAGAGACAGCTGCACAAAGATCTTTGGCTCTCCACCACATTCTAAAAATTTCTAACATAGCCTCTCCATGGCAGACTGCTGTCCAACTCAGCCTGACTCTGAGGCCATTAAATGAAACACTTCCAGATACACATCTGGGGAAAGATTTCTGAGTAGATTTCAGTTTGGGATTAAAACTTTAGAAGGGTTGTATCACCACGCTACTCCTCTAAAGGTATACCCAGAGCTTATCCCTTTTCTTTTATCCCTTTAACTGCATAATGAACAATACAACCTAAGCTCTTGTCCTTAGGATACAGAGAAGGTTGTCAAATAAATACGTTGCAGATGACTTTAGGTCAATCACATATTGGTCATTTTTTTCTGTTCTCATGTTCAACATGATTTTCTGCTTGTAAAGGCAATGAATTAAATAAATGTAAGAGTGGAAGGCCTCCATGAAAGGTATGGTGGGTGTTCTTTTTCCAGGTGGATCATCCTCCTAACTGTCAATAATTCTGGTGATATGTTAACGTAAGGCCGTCCTACATGCTCGTCCAGATTTTCACTTACCAATGACATAATGGAAAAATTGCAAATCTTCTTTTGGAAAGTTAATTTGTATGAACAATGCAAACAGCCACTTTTAAAAAGAGCGTGCACGAGGAGAAATTGACACTTGCACGCTCTCGCACATGTTTAATAGGCGTTCCCTCTCGGGAGAGGGTAAAGGATTGAGCATGTGCATTTTTTTTAAGTGGAGAGGGTGGGTCTACTAACAAATAAAATTACATAATTGGAAGTAAAATTGTATTTTAATACAGAGATCTGTGTATTCAGCTGCCTTTATTTTTAACCCCATATAATCCTATGAGTTCCCCTTCTTAGACCATATGGTCAAGATCCTACATGCAAAACCCTTTCTGAAGCATTGTCTCTAAAACTTCTGAAAATAGAGCAAATGAGGAGAAATCCTGGAAGTAAACATATTTTGGAGGCTGCAACAGATTGAGGTGAAGATTCGATTTTGACCAGCTTTACAGTGGCGAAAAACAAACTAATGGTTAAGAACATAGTATATTAACAAATACCATTCTTAGACACTTTAGAGAGACAATGTAATGTCTTTAACCTCTTAATATCCATCTCACATAGAAAAGCAAATAACTTAGGAACTGTAAGCCCAAATTACACGAGTGATACATAAATTGAAAGCCAACACCTTCTAGTGTCTGAATATATACATGAAAACTGGGTGAGTAAAACACCCAAGCTGCATCAAGCCTGAGCTGCATCAGTTCAAACAAGACTCAAAGTTGTTTTTCTTATTCTTGAAAAGAATACCGTAGGTCTTTTTTGAACAGCAGTTATAAAGACATGCTTGATTGTTGTGGCTGCTTTGTCATGGTACTTTTTGACATGCTGCTATATCTGTGTTAATTGTGCTTTGATGCTCGCTGTGTCCATAAAATGAACTAGGTGGTTGAATTGTCGAGAATCTAAGCTTTCCAACGATGTTTAACATGTCTATATTGGTAAACATTTTACCAGTGTAATTTTCATGCATTCTGAGTTATTATTTGTAAGCGCTTTAAAACGGTGGGTTTTGAGAGGTTAAAGTACCAGAAATATTATATTAGACCGATATTTCTTCAGTTTAGAAACTATTTATTTTTTATATAAAATAGTATCTTAAAGAGGAAAATCCATGATTCTTCTTTTTTATGTTTTTTTTCCTTTTTTTAACCCTGTAAATTGTAAACCATGGTATAATTGACAAATCCATTTTTTAAAACTTATATTGTTCTTAAAAAATCCAGAAAGAAAAAAATAGATTTTGAATTATTTAAGATCTGTTTACAAAATGTGTCTGATTGTATAAACACTTTTTTCCAGACAAAAATAAAATAGCCTACTGAGTTTGAAAAAAAAAGTAATACGATATATTTGTTACTAAAGGGTTAAAAACTTAAATGCTCACAATAAATTTTTTGTCAAATAAAATGACAACAGATTTCCAATACCAGACATTTAACAAAAATAATAAGTTGTGTTTTATTTAATAATAATGCAATATTTAGCAGCTCAAAATGATTTTATTTTCCAGGGTCAAAGGGGAAAATGGCTTTTTGCATTTGAAAGGTTGTAGAAACACAATCTATCAGGTGAAATCCCAAATAAAAAAGTAAAAAGTTTATTGTTTTAATCAAATGTGTCGATAATCAAGGCTCATCACTCC